CGCAGCTCTAAACGTGATAACATTCAGGTTTCTTTGCTTCAAGAATACGACAGAACGACTTTCAAATTTAAAATTCAATAATTGGCCTCCATATTTCGGCTAACACGGCGGGAAGGAATAAAATTTGCAATTCAAATTAGTTAATCCAGACCACAGGTTACCCAAGCGTAATTCGACGTACGGCATGTTTGCACAAGCGTAATTCTTAGCGGCCCTTAACCTACCTACAATAGCCTAAGTACCCTGCGTTGCAGCCGGCCCACACACTCGTCTAAACCTTTTGAATGGTCTTATACAGAAGGTTTAGAGCGTCTGCGACACAGGCAAGATTTCTGTGAGGGGGATATTTAAAGACCGATCCACGTTAAAACGGGCAAAATAGCTCTAAGTCGAAAGAGAGGGTTAGTGTAAACATCTTTACATAAGCCAGCTCTGTAGCCAGAAAACGTTGTATAACTGGGAACGATGTCAGCAAAGGTCAGAAGCAGCTGCCCTAAAAACTATTATTTTATGATCATTTATCTGTTCGGATTTCTTAGGGGAACTTTGGCCGTCTCAGTAGAACGTTTTAGTGGCTTTTTTTTATTATCTCAAAACTGTTATGATCATCACTCAGCGGATGTAACAATCGAGATTATAAGTGTACCCATAACGGATTCGTAAGTGACCTACTTTTAGCACTTGTGAATTCACGTCCAAAATTCGTCGGCCCTGGTCCACGAATTCTGTAAAAAATTTCCGGCCTTGTCAATTGTATTTTGACCACGTCACCTCAAGAGAAAACTGTATTATAGGCATGGCATGAGTTTGTACTATCTAACAAGTGGAAGGTAATGAATTGTAGTTACAAGACCCCGGATAGTTGTGGACCTGATCTATTTATGAATCAGATCCCGCGACCTTCTTCATCTCAAGCCTCTTATTCTTTGTTGTCATCATCAACATCATCACATTTCCTTTCTCTGTTGTTCTAAATGCACTAGTGAAGATCGCCGTGAAAACCAAATCTCGACTCAGATCGAGACACTAAGCCGAATATCTTACTGACATTGTTAGCGTCGGATGACTAACCAACTTTTATCGCCGTCATAATACTGCTTCTATCTGATCATCCCCATTGGGGATTGCTTGTTAAACGTTCTCCTGTTTACATTGCCCATTCTGATGAGATAGGATAACGATCGAGTTACGAGTCTTAGCGTTTGGGTTGAGTAAGTTTGAGTTAGGTTTGAGTTACCGTTTTTTTGTTCAAACTCTGTGCATGAATGTGAATGATGGCAAAGATTGTCGGCGTTACACATATCAAAGTGCGTAAATTCAATACAACTTTTTCTTTTTTAAAATTTTACAAAAGGGCAAGGGTGCCGACAGCCGCACCCCCCTCCCTCCCCTCCCATGCCTCGGAATCCCGCCTCCTGGAACCGGGCCGGGCCGTGTTGCATAAAATGACCGTAGCGATAACGGGTATACGTACGTGTACTCGTAACTTATTAAAGTGAGTTGCATTGAATTACTTAAGAGGTCCACTTTAAAAGGGAATTCACTTAAGTGTCGTTTATGCAACAGAAATTGCGGGCGTTGCATAAAACATTTTTACGGGAAAAATAGCACGTACCTATCTAGAGGGACCTATCTAGAGCCCGTATCCTAAATATTTTTACCAAAGTTTATGAGATCTTCTACTGAGAAGTGATTCCGTTCTAAAGCGCTTCGTTAACCTCTGATGTAAACTTTAAAGCCGTTGTTAAGAAAAAAGAAGAACAACAAACATTTCCAGTGGATATTGAAGTAAAATAACGATTGCATGCAAACTTTATTTCAATGAGAGCAACTTTATTTCAATGAGAGGCGTAGCTATCGGCACCGTACCAATCTTTAAAAACGTAGCAACAAAAATACACAAAATAAAAACAGAAAAAAACAGTGAAAACACATTTCATGTAAAAACAAGGCATTTTTTGGTAACTCAAACTTAAAACTTAAAAAAAAAAAGGTTAATAGCACACAATCTACTTTTGATAAAATTCATCCTAGAAAGGCCTAACATTTTTCTCCGCTTGTTTCCACCAGATATTTAAGCATTAGTGCAGATTTCCTAACACCAAGTTCATTTTAGTCTATATTCGCTTTTGGAGTACTATAACTTTTGGCATTGGCGTTTTTCACCCCCTTTCCATTTTACGCCTATTGATAAGATTTACAGTTTGAGGTGTCAGCCCTCTCCTCGTGTCAACTCTGCTAAGGGGTAACCAGAGGGGCAACGCCTTTAACTGGATTTGGAACGACACTTCACACTATGCTAAGATGTAATTGCAAACGTTTTTAAAGTTGTTTTCTAGATTTACTCCATTAGAGCGAATTGCCATGATCGTGGGAAAATATATAAAAAAAATACTGCTAAGAAATCTGACAAAATGAAAATTTGCATACCATAATTACTCGAACGGAAATATTCCGCAGCCCCCGTGTTTGTTGAAAACTGTGTTAATGAACGCCGGAAAATCTAGGTCCGACTGTGGCTATTAAAAACACAGGAGAAGCAGATCTACGTCTTCTAAGTTTACTGAATCACTTCATTACGTTACTACTCTTATAAAGAGGGTATCGACATATATCCCGTCACATATTAAACGAAAGACCGTTTTTTAAAAACATATCTGTATCTTTTGGCTCTTAATGACTTTTCTTAATTTTTCTTCTCGTCGTTTTTTTTTTTAATTTAACAAATCAACAGAAATCATAAATCAA